TTCACTTGATTTAAGGAGCTCTCCTTTTTTGGCTCTCTTAAACAAAATTCTGTCGTAATACGTAGTGAGGTTTGGTTACTTCCCTTCTCGTAATCGACGGGAGTAGAATATACCAGAGGAGTCTGGAAACTTGCCTCTGCAATTCTAGGATTATTTAAATTTTCTGGAAAGGTTTGGTAACTTCCCCCTCCATGAATTTCAGAATCATTTATATCAGGAGGGGTTTGGTAACTTCCCCCTCCAAGGATTTCAGAATTATTTATATCAGGAGGGGTTTGGTAATTTCCCCCTCCAAGGATTTCGGAATTATTTATATGAGGAGGGGTTTGGTAACTTCCCCCTCCATGAATTTCAGAATCATTTATATCAGGAGGGGCTTGGTAACTTCCCCTTCCAAGGATTTCAGAATTATTTATATCAGGAGGGGTTTGGTAACTTCCCCCTCCAAGGATTTCGGAATTATTTATATCAGGAGGGGTTTGGTAACTTCCCCCTCCATGAATTTCAGAATCATTTATATCAGGAGGGGTTTGGTAACTTCCCCCTCCAAGGATTTCAGAATTATTTATATCAGGAGGGGTTTGGTAACTTCCCCCTCCAAGGATTTTGGAATTATTTATATCAGGAGGGGTTTGGTAACTTCCCCCTCCAAGGATTTGGGAGTCTAGCATTTCGGGGGAGGTCTGGAAACCTTCCTCTCGAGTATCTAGATCGAAATTTTTATTTAATTTTTTATTTTCTCTTATAGTTTTATTCTCAATCTTCTCCTTAAATTCGTTTTCTCTTACTTTATTTTGGTTTTTATTTATAAACTCGTCCTTATTTAACCTTGCATGATCGTTGTTTTTTATTTTTTCTTCACTCGTTTTATAGGACGTTTTGCAAATTTGCGTAATTCTCTCTTGGTTGTTTTGCGCCTCTATATCTGATTCGTGTTCGTCGAATAATTCATTTAGTGGTTTAAGGCGCAGGGTTGGTACCTGAACTTCCACTTCTTCGTCTAAAGTACTTATGACTTTTACATACGCCTTTCCGGAATTGTTTTTTACTATGGAATCTCCCAGATAAATCCCGTGGGTTATTTTTAATTTCGGCAGATATCCTATTTTTATTTCTGGGTTTTCTATCCTTACATAAAATAAAGACTCTGACCGCGGAGATGTCGTAATGGTTTCCGGTGAAAAGAAAGGTATATTAAATCCTGATACATTTAGACATCCCTTCGCGTAATCTATCATTGAAGAAGTCTGTTCAAAGAAATCGTTACCTAATATCCCGGCTTGTGGAATTGGCAAATCATTTGATACTACGTTAAAAATTACTGGTTTTTCAAAGAGTGGTATAATAACTTCTCCGAGCGTATAAACTGGATATTCGTTTATACCGCTTAATTGCAAAAGTTTATTGTGATTGACGAT